CTCCTCTTTTCATCTCTCTCTCAAATGCTATTCCAACCCTTCACAATTCTTCTCCTCTTCAGTCTCTGGTCAAACTTTTACTCTCTTGTTTTGGGGAGGCGGGGGGAGCTTTCTCAAAATCCTGCCCCTCCACACCTCCTTCTTTCTTCATAGTTTTCACTAAGAGGATCAGTGAGTCTTCTTGTCTCAATGGAAGAGCCACCACTCTTTCTCTAAGGCTAGTCTTTTCCCTCCTATCACTCTGGCACTCCCACCTTTTGACTTTCTCAGGGACCTTGCATCATCAAGCTGTATGCTATCTGCACATAAGTGAGTTCATCTATCTCTTACATTTAAAGTAAAACAAAATTAAATAAAACAGCCTCTGTTGCCCCCCGAGCCTTACTGTCTACTTACTGTCTATAAGGAACACTCTCTCCTTCCCATTATAGCCAAGCTTCTTCAATGTATTATACCACATTTTTAAAAATAATATAAATTTATGAGGTACACATGCAATTCTGTTACATATGCAGTAGTTAAGTCAGAGACTTTAGGGCAGGTGTCCCCAAACTATGGCCGCATGCGGCCCCCTGAGGCCATTTATCCGGCCCCCCGCCGCACTTCAGGAAGGGGCACCTCTTTCATTGGTGGTCAGTGAGAGGAGCACAGTATGTGGCGGCCCTCCAACGGTCTGAGGGACAGTGAACTGGCCCCCTGTGTAAAATGTTTGGGGATGCTTGCTTTAGGGTATCTATCACCTGAATAATACACCTTGTACCCATTAAGAAGTTTCTCATCATCTACCCTTCTCCCACCCCTCACCCTTCTGAGTCTCCACTGTGTATCATCCCACTCCCCATGTCCATGTGTATATACCATATGTTTTATCAATCCTTCTCAGTCCTCACTGCCCAACCCTCTACAATCTGGCTTCACTCCTCCTGCTGCACTGATGTTGTCACTGGCCTCCTAATTGCCAAATCTAATGAACATGTTTTTAAAATGTTTTATAGTGGGCTTTATCTAATTACGAGAGGGGTACACATCATGAACAAAGTTATGACATATGGCAGACTAGAGAGAAAAAACTCGTACTATATAACAGGCAATAGGTAAATATACCAAATAAACATAGTGTTCTTACAAACAAATCAAATATATAACCCAAAAGACAAATGTACAAAGGATATAAAGGAGCAAGTCTCGGAAAAATACAAACAGCTAACACACATGAAAAGATGCTCAGCCGCACTAGCGATCAGAGAAATGCCAAGTTAAATCAGTTAGACACTATTTTTCACCTATCAGATTGGCAAAAATTAAAAGCATCATCCATCCTCAGCAAGGCCATGAGGAAAACCACTTGCAATGGTGAAAGGGTAAACCCTCTTGGCTGTCACTCTGGTGATGACTATTTAAATTGTTTAATGTATATATCCTTTGCCCTAATAATTCTTCTACTAGAAAGCTATCCCACAAAAACACTTGTGTATATAGATCCTTGAGCATTATGAAAAGATGTTTGTGGTAGCCTTGTGGTGACTTGGACTAGGGCGATAGTCAGAGGAGATGTAGATACATGGCAGAATACATGATACAGTCTGAAGATCAGGTCAGCAGAACTCCCTAATGAATTAAATTAGGTGGAGGGAAGTGAGAGAAAAAGAAAAATCAAGGGTAATCTTGGGTTCTTGGTTTGAGCAACTGAATGGAAGATGGTGACATTTTACTAAGACAGGGAGTGCTGAGGGAAGAAGGTGGGAATAACAGGGCAATCGGGAGTGCTGTTTTGGCCCCGTTACATTTGAGAGGCCTGATAGACAAGCAGAGATGTCAAATAGGTCATTGGATATATGAGGCTGCGGCTTAGAAGAAAGGCCTGGGTCACAAACATAAATTTGGGAGTGATGAGTGTCTAGGTAGATGTTCTTTAAAGCCATGTGGCTGGATGAGAGCCTCTGTGAAGATTTTGGATGGAGAAAAGTCCAGGGACTGAACCCTGGGTCATTGTGATATTCAAAGTCTTGGGAGACAAATTTAGTAGAAAAAGAAACTGGTCAGTTTCTGGTAAAAATTTGAGTTTCAAAGAAGTTAGCACGCATTAGCACACATTAAATGATGAGAATCACATATTTACCACCTTATGAAGGGCCCACCTTTTTCCAAGTCTGTCTTCAAAGAGATTCTGGCCTCTTCCTTTCTGAACATTTCAAAACACTTTTAAACGGAATAGCACTTTTTTCATTTATGTTACATAGCGGTTTCTTTGCACTGCACAATCATCCTAGTAGAAAAGTAGTTAAGTACAACACAAATAGCACTCAGCTATGGCTTTTCCATGACGTTCCATAATCCAATAACCACCTCATACCAAAAAGCCTATGGGTAACTTGAAACCGGAAGCCTAATTTGTGGCATCCGTTATTCTTTTGAGCTGCTTACTTCCCCATCGCACAGTAATTTTCTCCAGTCTCTTACTGAGCTTGCAAAAAGCCTGAAAGGCTTCAAGACATCTGACAATCCACACCCCTTCCTCCCAGTGCAGCCCCCCTTCCTACCAACAAGAAGCACACCACTTTTATATTTCCACTTTTAAACTTTCGAGATTTCCATCCAGAGACCCATACTTTTAAAAAGTAAGAGAGAGGAAGTACTTCTAACTAGGTCAAAGTTGGCATCAGGAACGAAATGTCAAAGCAAAACTCAGCAGAAACAAAGCTGAGTTCTGGGCCTGGGGTAAACTTACACCTGTAGGGCGACAAACTGAGTAGGCTTTCAGGTCCAGGAGTGCCTAATTCCAAGAGTGCCAGATTCCTAGAATGGTAATGTCATTCATTCATTAACAAATATTAGTATGCACCTATGATGTACCAAGGACTGTTCTGGGTCCCAGAGTCCACCGGTGAATACAACAGACAGTAATCCCTATCCACAGGGTGTTTATGCTACGGTGGGTGACGGAGTAGGAGGGCAGACAATAAGCAAGAAAGATATAATAAGGTAGGGAAAGGGCATATGGAATGTTCAGGGAAGGGATTACGCAGAAATAGGGCAGTCAGGGCAAACTCCTTAGCTGTGGCATTTCAAGTGCCTCAGAAAGGTGTCTTCTGTACCTCAACCCCACCATCACCAGACCTCGGCCCCTTGAAGGCATGGCCTGGTATGTCCAGTTACTGGCACAAATATTTGCCAGTATCTTATGTTTAAGACAAAGGGAGCTCCAAGATCCAGACCTTGCCCTTAGAGAAGTTACAACCTTCCAGGTAGAAAAACAACTAAGAGCAGTGTTAAGGGCTTTACTGAGGTGTAAACAAAGTGCTTTAGGACACAGAATTATTGGCAATTCTGCTTGGGGGAAGAAGTATGTGTTCAGTAAGGCCGTTCCAAAGGAGGTGACTTTAGAACTCAATCTTGAGGGATGGATAGGAATTAATGTTAGAGGAGACAGTGTGGGAAAAGAAAGTTAGCTTTTGAGGAAGAAAAAATAAGAACAGTTTCAGCAAAGTCCAAGAGATGGGAATAGGGAGGACATTTTCTTCCTATCCCTGCCTTTGGTACTCCAGTCGATAACAAAATTATCACACGATCACCCTCAGGCTTTCTGGTATGGTTGACAGGAAATCTGAATCACCACTCTCTCATTTCTCCCCTAGCCAGTAGGAGAGAAAGAAGTTGAGTCAGACACACATCCCTAGAATCCAGGATTACCCTCTCCTATCTTCAGGACAATTACCACAAAGCTGAGAACCCAGGAGATTTCATTCATCCAGGGACACTCACATGTGTACTTATAGTGGTAATATGGCAACTGGTCCATGTTGGAAATGAAATGGGTAAGACATCAGTGAGGCAAGTGGTCCCTAGTCTCTGCAGTGCATCTAGGGTGGAATCAAGGAGCAAAACACATACTTGGGCCTCGAAGGAAAATTTTTAATCAGTTAGTCTTCACCCATGAGCTATTCAGTGTTCCCAACATCCAAGACAACAGAGGTGATGTGACAGGATAGGAACACAAGCTCTGCCTCTATTTGAGATTTTGGGGCAAGGCAATTAACCTCTGAGTCTCTTTTTCATCATAATATGGTTATAACAGTAGCATCTACTGTATAGATTTATTGTGAGGATTGCATAATTATGTAAAGAACTTATCGCCGTGTCTGGCTCTATGGCTAACAACCATTACTAGCAGCAGCCTTTAAGGGGAAAAGCTCAGAGAGCCAGAATGCTACATGCACTCACAGATCAGTTACCCCAGAAAAAGCCTCCAAGCTCCATTTCACTGCTCTGACCAGGAGTGAGACACCAGAAATTGTGTTACCAGAAATGTTCCTCACCTGCCCAAAAAGAGCCTCACAAGCCAAGTTGGTGGCGCTTTTCTACTATGGTTTCCAGCAGGTGCTAAAAACCAAACCACCAAAAAAAATCAGAAAACTTCATCAAGGCCACTCTTCTGCATTAAACATTGTTCCCACAGCGACAAAGGTCTTCAGTCATTAATATCTTAATATTAATAGATTTATGAGAGGTGAGGAGCTTAGAGAGGAGAAAAGAAATCAGTTAAATATAGGAGGTCCAGAATGTACAGAAGACTAATTTTTGCCACAAATATAGAAAGTCTAGGGTCAACCCTCCCAAGAACAGTATTCTGGAAGGCTAGGTCTTCTAGTCCTGAAGAAGGGAACCGGGAGAAGAAAAGCTTGGTTACTTAGAAACTCACCACTTTTCAAAGCCACCAGATTTCTAACCAGATGATTTCACCACCAAAAATCCTATCTCATTGAATGTTAAGGGTTGGAGGAACACCTTTTTCTGCCCCATTACAAACCATTACAGCAGACAGAAGCATTCTGCGCGCCTTATGAGATCTCGGGGACCCTACTCCAGAACCAGATCTCCCACACCCTGCTTGAAGAGCAGCAAGATAAAGCAGCTCCAGAGCACACAGCCTGGTCCCCAGCCCCAAGCGCAGAGGGAGCCCACTGAGGCAGGACTCCAGCCAAACAGCCTCCAGCCCTTACCTGTGGCTGACTGGCCGTCGCCGATGCCGGAGAAGCCGACGCAGCGATGTCGGAAGTCCGAAGAGAGTGCGAGTTAGCGACCCCGCTCGATGGCCAAGCGCTGCGAGAGGAACCCACAGAAAGGTGACAGGACACCTTGTAGAACGCAGTTCCCGCTAGGAACTCAGCCCCGCCCCCGCCCCCCAGGGGCAGCTCTCGAGAGGGACACCAGCTCCGGCTGGCGGGAAAAGCCCGGGCAATCAGCTCGAGGGGAGCCGGAGAGGAGAGGGGAGGCGACTCCCAGAGGGGCACAGCCCGCTTTCGTGTCAGGTGGGTCAGGGAAGGGGCCAGAAGAGGCTCTGGAAAAAGAAAAGTGGCCAGGAGGGACCGCCCAACCAGACGGGAGTCCTAGCCTGGGGGGTGAGGTCCGGAGAGGCAGACGGGGAGAGGGTAGACGTGGTCAGCTTGGGAGAAGGAAAAACTGCGGGAGCAGAGAGCGGGTAGGGAATAAGCAAGACCCCGAGATGGGGGTGGGGGCGCTTCAGCAGCTAAAGGGAGCTGGGAGCCCAGAAGGAGCCGCGGACCGAGGGCGAGGGGTAGCCGCTGGCTGCGGACCTACCTGTCACCTGCAACAGGTGCCTCCAGAGAGCGAGAATTCCCAGTGCCGAAATTCAGGGAGGGTCTCCGGCTCCGGAAAGACTGCAACCCAGCTCTGGCGGCCGGCCCTTCTCACCCTCCCGGGAGGCGGAAAAAGCTGCAACTTTCCCTGGAGCGGGGAGGAGCCGGACTCTTAAAGGGGCCGCACAGCGCCCCCGGGCTCTTGAGTAGGGGGCCGCTCAGCTTGAAGCGGAGCTCTGACACCCAAAGCCTTGAGACACTGGAGGAATGTCCTCCCAGGTTAGGAATGGGAGCCTGCGGACTGGACTGAGGATAGGGATCTAACACTAGACGTGCCTCCCCACCCCCTTACTTCCATCTGTTGGTCACTCTCTTAGATGGTGAAATCACCTGCCTCTTTCCTTCAGCTGAGCCAAAAGTTGTCAAATTGTCTCGCACTTCTAAGAAGATAAAGCGTAGGAACTATCTGAGTAAATAGATATAATATTATTCTGATCCTTTGACTTACGGCCTCTTATGGCAAATAAATGTCTGACGAAAATAGAAACGTTTCGGGCAAAAGACTAAATTCACACGTACACACTCAAGGAAACAACTGGTTAAGATATTCAACTCACTATTAATCAAAGAAAAGCAAATTAGAACAATAATGACATTATTTGGCAAAGAGGTTTTTTTTTTTTTTTAATAATACGTAATGATGACAAAGTGGCCACCAAATAAGCTCTCATAATTGCCGATAGGATCATATGTTCGTGTTAAAAACCCTTTTAGAAAGCATGTCACCAATATATATCAATAGACTTTTAAATGTTTATATCTACCCAGTAATTGCACATTCCTCTCCCTCCCTCTCCCATTCTTCTCCCCTTCATTCACATCAGCAATTCAACATGCTCAAGTCTCTACTATCTTAAAAAAAAAAAAAAAAAAATGCTTTCTTATGCAGGAGGTCCCTCTTCAGGTCCTCTTTATGGGCAAATGTATTGAAAATGTACTTTACAGGTGAAATTGCAATTTTTATTCCCTTACTTCTCATTCATTTCTCAGCTCTCACCAATCTAGCTACCTTTCCCCACTGAAACTTCTCAATGAGATACCCAGCCAATGGCCCTCAGTGTCAATAAATCCATAACTAAACAAGGTATTTTGGGTCCTTATTTTGCTTTACTTCTCCCCTACATTTAACACCGTTAACCATTTGCTCCTCCTTGAAACTTTCTATGGCATTCGTGACATTGTACTCTTTTGCTTTTCCTCCTACTCCTTTGCCCTCTCTTCAGTAACCTTTGTAGGTCACTCTTCTGCTATCTGACCTCTGGAAGTCAGACATTTTCAGGGTTAGGATACACATACTCCCTCCCTAAATAATCTTTTTCACTCACTTGGCTTTAATTACCATTTATATGGCCACAGCTGTAATTCTATAACTCTACCCAGACTGCTTCACTGAGTTCTGTTTTCTTGACATCTCCACTTGAATGTCCTGCAGGCACCTCAAATTCAACACTTCCAGAGTTCAACCTACCATCTTTTCTCTTAAATTTGTTCCTCCTCCATTTTTTCCTATACCTGTATCAGTAAATGACAACATGCCACTCAAGGCAGAAACCTGGCACCTACCATACTACCTGGCACATGGTAGGCCCTCAGTAACATTTGCGTAATGAATGAATATGTCCTAAGGAAAAAGAGATGTGCACAATGTTTTTGTTTACCTGTATTAATCCCAGTATTACACAGAATAATAATATACCAAAAAAAGTTAATGATTCAATGATTAGGTAAATTATGATATAGTTATAATATGAAATATAGCCAATCAAACTGACATTTACACATAGTTTATAATGACACACAAATGCTTATGCTATAATATCAATTGAAAGCAGGGCCGGGCGTAGTGGCTCATGCCTATAATCCCAAAACTTTGGGAGGCCGAGGCTGGAGGATCACGAGGTCAGGAGTTCAAGACCAGCCTGACCAACACAGTGAAACCCCGTCTCTACTAAAAATACAAAAATTAGCCAGGTGTGGTGGTGCGCGTCTGGAATCCCAGCTACTCAGGAAGCTGAGGCAGTCAGGAGAATCACTTGAATTAGGAAGCAGAGGTTGCACTGAACTGAGATAGCACCACTGCACTCCAGTCTGGGCAACACAGTGAGACTCTGTCTCAAAAAAAAGAAAGAAAAGAAAAGAAAAAGAAAGAAAGAAAAGAAAGTAGAGTATCACATTAACTGTAAAATATCACAATTAATGGAAACAGGGTACGTATGAAAAAAGATTAGAAGGAAAAATAGGCATACCTCTTCTTACTGCATTTTGCATTATTGTACGTTGCAGACATTGTGTTCTCAGAAACTGAAAGTTTGCAGCAACCCTGTTTCAAGTGAGTCTATTGGTGCCATTTTTCCAACAGCATGTGCTCACTTCATGTTTCTGTTTCACATTTTGCTAATTCTCGTATTTCAAACTTTTTATTCTTATATCACTATTCTAGTGACTTGTGATCTTTGATATGACTGCTGTAATTGTTTTGCCACATCATGAACCACGCCTATATAAGACGACAAACTTTATTGATAAATGTTTTATATGTTCCTACTGCTCCACCAATTGGCTGTTCCCTCATCTCTCTCCCTCTTTGCAGGCTTCCCTAGTCCCTGAGACACAACAATATTAAAATTAGTTCAACTAATAATTCCACAGCGGCCTCTATAAGTGCTCAAATGAAAGGAAGAGTCTCCTTAAATCTCTTTAAATCAAAAGCTGCCAATGACAAGGCTCACTGAGGAAGGCATGTCAAAAGCTGAGATAGGCCAAAAGCTAGGCCTCTTGCACCAAACAGTCAGCCAAGTTGTGAACGCAAAAGAAAAATTCTTGAAAAAAATGAAAAGTGCTACTCCAGTGAACACACAGATGTTAAGAAACTGAAACAGCCTTATTCCCAATCTAGAGACAATTTTAGGGGTCTAGATAGAAGATCAAACTAGCCATAACATTCCTTTAAGCCAAAGCCTAATTGAAAGGAAGGCCTCAACTATCTTCAATTCTGTAAAGGTTAAGAGAGGTGAGGAAACTGCAGAAAAGTTTGAAGCTAACAGAGGTTGTTTCATGACATTTAAGGATAGAAGCCATCTCACTAACATAAAAGTGCAAGGTGAAGCAGCAAGCACTAACAGAGAAGCTGCAGCAAGTTATCCAGAAAATCTAGCTAAGATAATTGATGAAGGTGTCTACACAAAACAATAAATTTTCAATGTAGACAAAACAGGATTATATTAGAAGATGCCATCTAGAACTTCCATAGCTAGAGAGTAATCAATGCCTGGCTTCAAAGCTTCAAAGGACAGGCTGACTTTCTTATGAGGAGCTAATGTAGCTAGTGACCTTAAGTTGAAGCCAATGCTCATTGATCATTTTGAAAATTCTAGGGCCTGTAAGAATTATGCTAAGTCTTCTCTGCCTGTGCTCCATAAATGGAATAAAGCCTGGATAACAACACAACTGTTTACAGTTTATTGAATATTTTAAGCCAACTGTTGATGGCCACTGCCCAGAAAAAGACATTCTTTTCAAAATATTACTGTTGACAATGCACCTAGTCACTGAAGAGCTCAGTACCAGAAGATTAGTGTTGTTTTCATGCCTGCTAACACAACATCCATTCTTCAGGCCATGATCAAAGAGTAGTTTTGACTTTCAGACATTATTATTTGGGAAATAAATTTTATAAGGCTATAGCTACCATTAATAGTGATTCCTCTGATGGATCTGAGCAAAGTAAATTGAAAACCTTCTGCAGAGGATTCAACATTCTAGATGTCATTAAGAATATTCATGTTTCACCAGAGAAGGGCAAAATACCAACATTAACAGGAGTTTGGAAGAAATTGATTCCAATCCTCATGGATGACTTTAAGGGGTTCAAGACTTCAGTAGGGGAAGTCACTACACATGTGGAGGAAATAGCAAGAGAACTAGAATTAGAAGTGGAATCCAGAGACGTGACTGAATTGCTGAAATCTCATGATAAAACTTGAGTGACAGAGGAGTTGCTTCTTGTGAGTGAATAAAGAAAGTAACTTCTTGAAATGGAATCTACTCCCGGTGAAGATGACGTGAACACTGTTGAAACAACAACAAAGGACTTAGAATGTGACATAAACCTAGTTGACAAAGCAGCAGCAGGATATCAGAGGATTGACTTCAATTTTGGAAGAAGCTCTACCGTGATTAAATGCAATCAAATAGCATTGCATGCTACAGAGAAATCTTTTGTGAAAGGAAGAGTCGATCAATATAGCAATCTTCATTGTTGCCTTATTTGAAGAAATTGCTATAGCCTCCCCAACCTTCAGGAACCATTACCCTGATCAGTCAGCAGCCATCAACATCAAGGCAAGACCTCCCACCAGCAAAAAAAAATTATAAGTCACTGAAGGCTCAAAGGATCATTTGCATTTTTTTAACAATAAAGATTTTCTTTTTGTGAGACAAGGTCTCTCTCTGTCACCCATCCTGGAGGGCAGTGGCACAGTTGTAGCTCAAACGATACTCAGCCTCTGAATTGCTGGGGCTATAGGCACACACTACCATGTCCAGTTTTGTTGTTGTTGTTGTTAGTATTTTTATTAGAGACAGGTGTCACTATGTTGCCCAGGCTGGTCTCTAACTCCTGAACTCAAGTGATTCTTCTGCCTTGGCCTCCCAAAGTGCTGGGATTACAGGCATGAGCCACTGTGCCTGGCCTAAAATATTCTTCAATTAAAGTCATTGGTTTTTTAGACATAATGCTATTTCACACTTAATATACTACAGTATAGGGTACATATAACTTTTATATGTATCGAGAAACCAAAAAATGCATGCAACTTGCTTTATTGTGGTGGTCTAGAACCAAACCCACAATATCTTCAAGGTATACCTGTATACAAGAATTTTTATTAAAATATTGATAGTGGGTGCCTCTAGGTGATAAAACTAAACAAGTTTTTAGTTTTACTCCTACGTTTCTGTCTTTTTCAAATTTCTTGTAATGAGCATGTATGGCTTTGACAATATTTTTAAATTTTCTTGAAAAATCTTTAAAAGCTAAAAAA